CACTTCTTCCAATGCTAAGTCTAAACTTGAACAACTCTACCTTCTCTCCTGTTCCAAGGCAGTTAGCACTGTTACTGTTCTCATAAGCAGTTTCATAACAGTAAAAATAAAAACACAGCTCTTACAGTTTTAACAGTATATTAAGGAAAATAAAATATGGCTCTGGTATCAGTTGCTTTTAGTTATTTATATAGTAGGCAACATGAATCAGAACTTTTCTATGATACCAACAACATGTATAAGCCATCAGATATCACTAACAAAAGCCATTTGAAAGGCACAGAGCTTAAGTAACTCTTGTACCCACAACTTTATCTTCTGCCTGGACACTTCTGCATCCACCACCATGGGTGAGGCTCAGATGCTCATCACTGATGCTGATTACTAATGCATGCATCCCAAAATAATAAACACATAACACACACCAATATATAAAATGAATTCTTTCAGTCCTGAATATGGCAAATGAATCAGAAACTGGTGCTTTGTTACCACTATCACTACCAGTCCTCATTCTAGCAGCATAGCCAAGAAAGACAGGAACAGCATCAATAAGATCAGCAGCAGGTAGCTTCTGTGTTTAGGATGCACCTCTCTTTTAGACCACCATTATTTAGGAACATTAGAAGTACATTTATACATTAGAAAATATGGTCTTTGAAAAACCACAAACAAACCCAATAAGATATTCTGCCATTTCATTAACACAGTCTCATATTTTACTACATCTTTTCTGCTTTAGCAAAACCAAAATGTTTTTTCCTACCTCAACTTGCAGCAAAATATCTATGATAATGTCAGAAATGGAAGAATCTCCTTCTAGTTTGGCAGAGCAGAGAGAGAGTTGTCGAATGAGACTGCCCAGCTCCTTGTAGTGGGCAGGAATCTGCTCATCTGTTTGATCTGTGAAGTGATTGGCAAATGCCTGCAAGGTTCGTACAGCACCTCTGTGTGCTGCTGCCAACCTGGATACTGCTTGGGACTGGGAAATGAAAAACAAATGTTTTAATAACTATAGTTTCTATGAATACTTATACTATTGGAAGAATTGTTGGCAAAATTTCATGGAGAAACACTCAGGCTTGGGATAATTCTGATGCATATTAAGCCATTTGTGAGACAAAACAAAACAGGCATTAAAGTAATCTACTAAAGATTCCTCACAACAGTACCTCTATCAATGTCATGCTGGCTTCAGGTGAAACAGCCTGGGTATAACAGGTCTTGATGTTTCTGTGTGCCAACACAGAACTGTAATCATCAGCTGGACCCTAACGAGCAACAACTGCACAAACACAAAATATTCTCCATCCTCTGCGTTTTGTTACAGAAGAAAATACAAGTGATGGAAAAGCTCAAGAGAACAACAGGACAACATCAGCCAGAGTGTAGGCATGATCTCAGGGCTGTCCTTCTGAAAGGTGCTGGGCAGAGAAGAAAAATCAGGCTGGTAAGACTGAGTGACATCACCCAGAAGTTTAAAAAATCAGTCAATAGTAGAACACATTGTTATTGCAAAAAGGAATTGGAATGAAGAAGGAATTAGAAGCCACATAAAATCAGAGCGATGGCCTTCTTCTCTACTTTACTGCAGGGAAATGAGAACTGAGAAGAGAGAAGCAGCAAAGGCAGTATTAGGCCAAGTGATTCATACTTCTGTGAGAATGAGATGAAAGGTGTAAGATACAAAGAAAATCTTTCTGAAGAGGGCTCAGATGCACCCAGATAATCAAACAATTATCTAGAAAACTCTGTCAATAAGTCATTTATAGCCTCAAGGATAATTACACCTTACCTTTTTAGTGTGTTTGATTGCATGAGGACTCAGTTTCTCTAAATCATCCTGAATTTCTTTTACCTGTTTATCAAGAAAGGAGAGGAGAACATCAGTCAGAATTCACTCCGTGCCTATAAATGAACAAATTTTGGACTTCAGCCATGAGAGAAATTAGTCACACCATTCAGATCTAAACTAAAATGCTGTGGAAGTTCAGAGATAACCTGATTGAATTTCTTTTGTTTCAATTTGTTTCTGTCAAATTCTTCACAATAAACTAGCTACTATGCATGCCAGTTTAAAATGCCAGTTCCTACCTGTTGCTGGAGCACATACAGCATCCGAGCTGACCGTGCAGCTTGTTGCTGTCTCCTAGTGCAAAGTCGCTGCTTGATCTCAGGATCTAAAAGTTCTGTATCTCTCCCTAAAAAGCATAGAATTTAATGTTTTATGTCTTAATTTAACATGTGAAAATCCCAATTAAGCCATGACAACAGACATAATTTAACAATAAACCTCTGCCATGCAGAACCAGATCACATATTTGTGGGGGTTCCTTTAGCAGTAATGTAAATTAATTACTGTAACTCTAGATTGTGTTTCTATTTAGAATTTGGCTAAACAATCTTATACAATATAGCTTATTAGTAATAGCTTAAAAAATCATGTGACCAATTAGTTTTATGATGAAGTTGCAGATAAAGCACTCAAAATTAGGAATGGTTACACCTCCTGCTAGTTATTACAAAAGAACCAATTGCTTAACCTGGCAAGCTGTTCTGGCTTTTATATATTTTTTAAAAAAAGTAGATGGTTCTCAAAAATCCAGAAATAAATTTGAATTCTAATCCAAGCCAAACAACTGTGGGGGAAAAAAAAATCAACAAACTACTGTACATTTATATAACATAATTATTGTTCAGTCTTACACCTTTTTTAATCATTTCTTCAATTTTTTGAATATAGCTCCTCAATTCCTTTTGCAGACATCGGACTTCCTGCATATTTTTATGTTCTTTCTTGTTTAAATTTGGTTTGAGGTCTGGTCCTGTGTCATGGGTGGGTAGAGAGTCCAAAGCAGCTGATCTTGGCCTTCCTTCCTTAGCTACGCAGAGAGAAACATTTCTGTCAGAGCTGGTAGACTCCCCTTGGGAAGGCTGGTCAAGCCTCTGCTGACCTGGCAAGCGAGTTTGAGACTTCAGCGCATTTTTATTTCCTGGAGCTGCAAATACTTTGGTATTCTGCTGTTGTGACTTCTGGGTCCATAATGGTTTACTGACCACGTTTCCAAACACTTGCTGTTTCACTTGCTCTTCAAGACGTCTTCGTTTGATGTCCCTTTTGGCCAACTGAACGGCCAGTTTCAGTTTTTCTTCAGATACCACTGAGAACATGCCAGAGCTTCTCAGGTTGGGGTCCTCACTTGCAGCTGGATTTCTCTGATCACTGGATGCCTTCAATTTTTCTATTATAATTGGGCGGGGCTGAGAGAATCTGAGAGCCAAATTCTCTGGAACTGCAGGAACATTTCTATTAAACTGGAGCTGTTCAAAGTGTAAAAAAAAAAATCTGATGTTACACAGAACACTTTACACAGGTGATGCAACTCAAGTGTCTAACAGTAAGGAAATTGGATCTTCTTTTATATTAGCATGTATCCCGTCATGACAGCATTGTTTTGGATTTGCGCTGAACACAGTGCTAACAGCAGACCAGTGTTTTCATTCTTGCTAAGCAGTGCTCAAGGCCTTTTCTGCTCCTCACTCTGCCCACCAGTGAGTAACCTGTGGGTGGGCAAGAAGCTGGGAGGAGACACATGTGGGATGGCTGACGCTGACTGACCCAAGGGATATTCCACACCGTGTGGCATCATTCTCAGCAGTAAAAGCTGTGGGAAAGAAGGAGGAAGGGGAAGCTGTTTGGAGTGACAGTATTTGTCTTCCCAAGTCACTGCTACATGCGATGAAGCTGTGGAAATGGCTGGATTTCCTATTTTGCTCTGCTTGTGCACAGGGCATTTGCTTTCTCTATTAACATGCCTTTATCTCAATCCACAATTTTTCATACTTATCCCCTTCCAATTCTCTTCCCCATCCCACTGGGAGTGAGCGAGCGGCTGTGTGCTCAGCTGCCTACTGGGACTGAACCACAACAGACAGCTAAGAATATTTATGGATATAGTTCTTGAATCTCTACCCTTACAAAAGAACAGTGTCAAGATTATATGTGACAGCATCAGGAAAGCGAGTATCACACTCCTTGATGGGCTGTCTCGGAAGTGGGTCATAATCATTGTTTTGTAACAATCACAAATGGAAACCAATTCAGCATCGCTGCAGAAAACAAATGGTACCTGTGTTTGTAAAGGCTTTGCTTCATTCCTGTATCGCTGGGTGGAGAATGCAAACGCATCATCAAACAGCGGTGCTTTGCTTGGCCCCATCGCATCGGCTTGAGAGCAAATCCCGCTGCTGTCCCTTGCTTGTGATCACAGCTGTGGACCTGAGAACAACCAGCCGTGATTTCAGACTCTCGAAAGCAATCCCGAGTCAGCACACTCCGGGTGCTGCCAGGAGGGAGGAGAGAAAGGAGAACGGAGGAAGGCAGGCAGGGAGGAGGAAGGAAAGGAGAGCGGGGGAAGGCAGGCAGGGAGGAGGAAGGAAAGGAGAGCG